GAAAATACAAAGGATAAAGGAAAAATATAGTAAAATATATAAAACATATGTACACCAGGTCAATACAGTAATAAGAGCAGACAATATAGTTGGAGCAGTGCAGTTAGATCCAGTGATAAAAGTGACTAGAAAACAATATAGTCAGGGTTTTTAATCAGAAAGCATTATGGGAGCTGTAGTTTATGGTCAAAAAGCAGCTTATTTTAAACACTAATACATCCTTGAAGCTCTTGCGGGCCACATAAAATACCATAGTGGGCCACATCTGGCCCGCAGGCCTTGAGTTTGACATGTGTGTCTTAAAGAAACCCGGGATAATCTCAGATTCTGGTGTTTCACTTCTCGCTCATGGATTTTTTTGAGTTCTGTAGGTGGGTTCTGTTGGTTCTGTGGGTTCTGTTGGTTCTATGGGTTCTGTGGGTTCTATTGGTTCTATAGGTTCTGTGGGTTCTGTTGGTTCTATGGGTTCTGTGTGGACAGTCTGTTTTCTGTAATTTTCAGCGTGACTTCATTTTGCAGATAAACTCTCCTCCTGACCGTCAGGAGCTCATTATCTCAGCATCTGTTTTCGCTGTCGGTTCTGGTCCCAGAGCGGTTTGGTGGTTCTGCTGGAGTCTCCACCGGGCCGTAGAGAGGTGGAGGTTATGAAGAGCGGAGACRGCCCCGTTGGGCAGCAGTTAATTAGAAAACAGGCTCTCCTGTCTGAGCAACATGGCCGCCCTTCATCTGCGATGTGTTCTGTTTGGACCTGAGGCGCACCGACCCGCAGAACTCTGCTGCCGCCTCTTCTTGTAATTTAATTACTTCCGTCCTTGTCTCTGCTCCTCTCGTCTCTCTCTGCGACCCGGTTCTGTTCTCCCAGCGTCGGCTCGTCTCTGCCTCGTCTCTAATGTTCAGGTTCCGAATCGCCCTCGTGGGTCGGAGCGGGTCTAATTGGTGAGACGGCTGAAGTTTAGAAAGACCTCCACTCTGTGATGAGCAGCTTTTTGCCACACAGCTCACCTGCTTAGATTGACTTTCATTTCTCCTCCAGCCTTCAGCAAACATCCCACAGTAAATAACAGGTGTCTCTCTACATCCTGAAATCATTTAAAATACTTCACATGGAGGAAATAAATGTTTATTCAGGAACTTCTCCAGAAGAGAGAGATTTAAAGGACACAAAGTTCAAGTTCAAGTTCAAGTTTATTTATAT